CCCCTCAGGTCCCATGGGGGCCAGACCCACCATTATACAAAATTGAGTCCCCTTAGCCCAAGGATGCTCTAGACTAAATTAGGATACAATCCCTTAATCCCTACGATAGAAGAAGGATTTTAAAGAATTTGCTATATTTCCCCTACTGGGCCCCGCCCCTCAGCCCCCAGGGGGGCCACACCCACCATTATACAAAATTGAGTCCCCTTTGCCCAAGGATGCTCTAGACTAAATTAGGATAAAATCCCTTAATCCCTACGATAGAAGAAGGATTTTCAAGGTTTTACCTCTATTTCCCTTATTGGGCCCCGCCCCTCTGCCCACAGGGGGTCCACACCCACCGTTTATACAAAATTGAGGATAATCCAGACCAAATTTAGTCAAAATCTACTTGGCCGTTCAGAGTCAGTAGCGTTTTAAAGGAAAAGATGACGGACGGACGACGGACGCTGCGGTATGGCATAAGCTCACCATCGTTCTTCGGACCAGGTGAGCTAAAAATCTGAATTGTTAAAATCATTCATCTTTGATTAAAAACACAAACACCTTTAAATACGCTTAACATTGAATCGTGGTATTTGTTTTATCATGAAAAATACTGTTTCATGTTATACTTACCGCTTGCATTGTTCCGATTATAAACCTTAGGCCGATAAAGACTGCAGGATTAGGAGCCCATGCGATACCTAGTGCCACACAAAACAGGACGACATGGCAGATTATATGAACGGGCTTTCGTCCGTACAAATCAGCTAAAGAGCAGAAGATTGCCGATCCTATTCCTTGTCCAAGAATGACAATGGTCTGAGCTAATTCTGACGCTTTTCCTCCATCACAAAACAAGTTCCACTTAAGAGAAACAAAGACATAAACACCATCATGCACTGCGAATTATTGACAAGGTTTGGGCCAACACGTTTGGGTTATTAACTTTAGCTTGGTGTTTAGACAAGTGTATCTAGTGGAACAACAAGATTGCTCTTTTTTATGAGTATGTGTATGGCACTGGTGTTATGATTCAGTTTACTTTTGTAAGTGAAGTAAGGAACAACACTTTCTGTTTATGTGCTTAAACAGCCATTTACTTATACGTAAAAAATATTCATTTCTATTACATACAACTGAACATTGTATTATTACGTAGTATTTTGTCGTAATTATAAATAGGACGTGTTCCCTTGTAAGAAGACAATATTATAATTTACAAAAGATTTGCACTCTACATGCCCTAATGATTTTACCAGTTTTCAACAAAAAGACCAAAAATAATAACGGAGGCATAATAAGCTTTTAAGAAGTATGCAAAGGTAGGGTCAACGCCTATGGAGATTTAACTTTAGCGTCGGCCTCCGCTTGGAATTTGAAATCAAAATAAATCCAAAAAGGCATGGGTATAGGAAGCTTAAATCAGGAACAATTAGTTTCAGAATTCATTTTATGATAAATTGGACCTCATTGACTTACACCTGTGTGGGTGTTAAATTCCTAATGAAGATTTAAGCAGAAAAGTATGTGAAATTTCATTATTAATGACAAAATTTCCATTTTTGACACGTTAATTTATATAGTTTTCAAATGAGTTTTTTTTCATACTTACTTAAAAGTTAGCTTTCAATAATATCTTTCAACATCAGAAATTTTCAAAGAAATTGACAACCGGTAAATTTGTCATATAACACTATTGATTATGAAAAAAACCCAAAAAGCATAGCTTTCTTTCCACGTTTCCTTTAACTTGTGTTTCTTCATGACCAATGGTCCTTGGGTCTTGATATTTGTCACCTAGGTTGTTCATGTGAATGGATTTCATTTTTCTAAATGTTGCTGACCCTGACCTTCGTTCAAGGTCACAAAAATCAAATGTGCTTACCAATATTTCTTTTAGAGTTAACGATAAAAAATAATGTAATATTCTTTTATATTTTGTTTAATGAATGGGCATTATAATATAAAAACAAATAATAACTAGAACCGTAAGCCAAAGGCTAACTAATACCCACACTCCTATATAAACCAAAACTGTAAGCTAAAGGCTAACTAAGACAAAGCATTGAAAAGCAATCCATAGTCTCCCAACAGTAATTATTTAAGTATAGAGGTGACTGACATACTTCCTGTACTCCCTCCCAATGCCAAAAGATAACCCAGATGAACAAGGTTTGCTGTAATCGACCTAGTAGTCAAGGAAGAGTTGTCAAGACAAAGAATTTTAACAAAGGGCCATAACTCCTTAAAAAGGGTCAAAATGAAAAAAGTACTTCCTTGATGCACGACATCAGGGGGTAATTACTATATCTGTAAACTTTCATTGAAATTCGGCCCAGTAGTTTATGAGGCAGACAAAGGTTGTTTTCAACAAAGGACCAAAACTCCTTTTTAAAGTGTCTGAATGAAAATACTACTACTTGGATGCACAATGTCAGGGTGTAGTTACCACATCTGTAAACTTCCGTTGAAATTGGCAACATAGTTTTGTAAGAGTTGTCTGGAAAAGTATTGTTCAAAAAAGGGCCATAACTTCGTTAAAAAAAGGTCAGACTGAAAAAAGTAAAACCCGAATGCACAACTTCTGGTGGTAGTTATCATATCGGGAAACTTTCGTTGAAATTGGTCTATTACTTTAGAAGGAGTTGTCCGGACAGACTTTTTCTACGGACAGACAGACGGACAGACAAGCTGATTCCAGTATACGGGGTATAATAAAGTGTATACTAGTTTTACTATTAATATTATTTTTTATTGTTTCTATATAATTGCATATCTTTGTCTATAACACAAAATGCTTCTGTAGACAGAATATATATATTATAAAGAAGTTGAAAATATAGACTACCATTTTAACTATATATAGGTAAGTGGTTATCTTTAAATTTTGCATGTTTTTCTAATTAAAAGTATCACTAGGTTGACCTCATGTAAACCAATATGACATATTTAAAATAACAGTAATGTTATACACTATATATAATCATAATTCATTTTCAAAATAACATTCGTCTGTGACATTTACATGTCATTTTGTTAGGATACCCTGTCACTTAGTGTTACGCAAGGAGGTCCACTACGGTTATCAGTAGTAATTATGAATAATCATTTATAGAGTTATTGATTATTTGTATGTATCTACTTATGGAAAAGGAATAAAAGAAATCAAATTGGGGGCCAAATGTTGACCCAACCTTAGGAAATAAGGGAAAATATTTGGACTTCGATATTTTATCTTGAGGTGTTAACTTTGTAACCAAAAAATAGTTTCCGTGAAAACTAGCACCTCACGGGGAAAACAATTTACAGCATTGATGTTTTGAATATGCATGAAATAACCTACCTCTGTTACAATGGAGGCATCATGGCGGAAATCATACTTATACCCCGATACACAGTCTGTACTTGTAACAAGGGTGGAGTTAGAACCGTTGTTGAACACATCTATAGAACATTGGTGGTAGACAAATATGTAGGTAGAACTGTCATTGTCGTCCTGATAGGGAAATACGTCTCTTGGTGTTGTTTCTCTGCACTCAAATGGGGGACGATAGGCTTCAAATAAAATAAATACATTCCACAATGTCATTACACAAATAAAAAAACATATAGATAAATACTGTAGATTTTATGAAGGAATAATCTTGCCATTATTATGATGGTTTGGAATGCGATTTCTGAGTTAGAACAAATTTTCGTGCGAGGAAATGTTTGATTGATTGACCTCGAAAGTTCACTTTATCTCGCACAACAAAATAATATATATAGGGGATATATACAATATTTTTTTATTTTTTTATTCTGTAACTAAATCATATTAATTAATTTCAGTTATCTATCTTTAATCCTATTTATTTAAACAGTTTATCAGTAATCAGTATTTTGAACACGTATTTATCTGTTCAATATTCATTCACTGAATAGTAGAAGGTCCAGAGGGCCTGTATCGCTCACCTGAATATTTAAGCAGTCATAACAAAATATTCTCATTAAATATTATCTTGCACTACAAATATTTCCCTCGCAAACTTTGTCGGCTTCATCTGTAGAAACTACCAGCCAAATGATATTATAAGATTCTATGCTTTTGGTTTTTTCTTCAGAAGCTGTTTGACATATTTACTCCTGTGACCTTGTAAGTAGGTCAATGTCATTTTCCTTCTCAAAATTTGTTAGCTCTATCCCAAAAAGCTACCAGCCAAATCTTATGAATCCATTCCTTTTGGTTCTTCAAAACAAATTGTTTGAAATTTGTTGACGTCTGTGACCTTTAAAGTAGGTTAAGGTCATTTTCATTGCAATCTTTGGTGAGCTCTATCCCAGGAAGCCACCAGCCAAATATCATAATGTTATGCCTTTCGATTATTTAGAAGTATTGAAAGTAGGTCAAGGTTATTTTCATTCCTAAACTTTGTCGGGCTTTATCTCAGGAAGCCACCAGCCAAATATAAAGACTCTATACATTTTAGTTCTTCAGAAGAAGTCGTATGAAAAGTTTGACACATTTGACCCTTGTGACCTTGAAAGTAGGTCAAAGTCATTTTAATGCAGAAACTTCATAGCACTCCATTCCAGGTACCTACTGGCAAAATCTTATGACCCTATGCCCTATGCAACTTGAGAAAAAGATTTTTGTTAAATTTTTTAACATATTTGACCCCTGTGATCTTGAAAGTAGGTCAATGTAATTTTAATGAGGAACTTTATAGCACTCCATCCCAGGTACCTACTGGCCAAATATCATAACCCTAAACCCTCAAGTTCTTCAGAAGTCGCTCAAAGAAAAAGTTGACGGACAGACGGAGGGACGACAAACAACGGACGCCGCAGTACGGCATAAGTTCACATGGCCATTCGGCGACAACGAAAACAACAACAACGACGGCGAAAGCAACAACAACAATAACAGAAACTGATCCAAGCGACAGCGAAATATGTAGGACAAGTGACCAAAACCCAAAAGCGAAACCAAAAACTCAGAAATGGTAGGAACGACCGGAACGTAACATTATCACCAATTGAAGATGAAATTGATAAAAAAAAATGTAATGTTAGAATTAAGAACTTTATTGTAAATTCAAATACTGTTTATTTTATTTTGCAGTGTCTGCTATCTAATCAGTTTGGAAATAACGATATAAGACAAACTCGTTACCACTGATTTAAAATAGAAGAAAAAACCCATTATTGAAATTATAACATTTACTGAGAAAACGCTTAAACAAGAGGCCCAGAGGGCCTGTATCGCTCACCTGAATATAATTAAAGTAATTGGTATGAAATAAAGATATAGCGATCCATGGTAGGTGCTGTAAGTACATATGAAATTTCATAAAGATCCATCCAGTACTTGAGATAAAGAGAACAAACTTCAAACAGAGTCCCACCCCTATGCCCCTAAGTGGGTCATACCCACCAATTATACAAAATTGAGTCACCGTCACCCAAGGATGCTCAACACTTGATAAGGATAATATCCCTTAATCCCGATGGTCGGAGAAGGATTTTAAAGGTTTTACCGCTATTTCTCCTATTGGGCCCCGCCCTTCTGCCCCACTCGGAGACCACACCTACCGCCAATACAAAATTGAGTCCCCTTGGCCCAAGGATGCTCCAGAATAAATTCGGATAAAATCCCTTAATCCCTATGGTAGAAGAAGGATTTGAAAGGTTTTACCTCTATTTTCCCTATTGGGCCCCGCCTCTCTGCCTACAGGGGGTCAGACACACCGTTTATACAAAATTGGTTCCCCTTCACCCAAGAATGCTTCATTCCCACCGAAGAAAAAGGATTTTGAAGATTTACGTCTATTTCCCCTATTGGGCCCCACCCCTCAGGTCCCAAGAGGGCCACACCCACCGTTTATACAAAAATGGTCCCCCTTTACCCAAGGATGTTCCACACCAAATATGGACCAAATTCTTTCATTCCTACAGAAGAAGAAGGTTTTTAAAGAATAATTTGGTATGTTTCCCCTATTGGGCCATGCCCCTCAGGCACCTGGGGGCCAGATCCACAGTGTATACAAAATTGGTTCCCCTTCAACCAAGAATGCTTCAGACCAAATATGGAACAAATCCTTTCATTCCTACAGAAGAAGGATTTTAAAGAATTTGCTATATTTCCCCTATTGGGCCCCGCCCCTCAGGCCCCTGGTGAGCCAGACCCACCATTTATACAACTTTCTTTCCCTTCCCCCAAGGATGCTTCTGACCAAATATGGAACAAATCATTTCATTTCTACAGAAGAAGAAGGATTTTCGGACCAGGTGAGCAAAAACTCATTGTGTCGTCGCATGTGACCACCTAATATCGACATAGTGTAAGACTATTAGCAATGACATCAATAACTTACCTATAAAAACGATGGAGAGAAGGTGGAATGCCCCTGGAATAACTGCAACGACACAACAAAGTAAGAGTTGGCCTCTCTGGTACCTTCCCCATGTTCCAAGGGATTTCCAAATCTCATCGACATCCAGGGGACCGTCCATGCTTATATTCTTAAATGGCTAAATTGAGCGCAAGTCTTTCCTCACTATCAAACGAATACGGATTCGGATGATCATATGATTTCAAGGGTATGTCTCCAGACCACAATCACACTTCCGGGTCGTTGTACACGAATGTAGTGTATAAAGACATTTCAGGTGGGTTACTAAATAATATTTCCTATCTGATTTATGATAGATATGTACATTGTTTTGACATAGAATTGTTCAACAATATCTATTCTAGTGATTAAATTTTATTTGACAGTTTCCACGTTTGTATTGGCAGCAGGACACAATGAGTGATGAGGCTTGAGTAGTGATATTTTGTGATTTTCGGTATTTCCATTATACATACAGCGTATAATGTATTCACCGGGCTATGTTGACTTTACCTGACGTGACGTAACATCTCATAAAAAAATGTATGTAAAAATAATATATGCTACAATATTCATTATTGATATTTAAATTTTGAAAGATGAAAGAGTAGTAATGTTTCATTGAGTCATTTCCAACAGTTCTTTGAACACCAAATTAGCAAATGTTGTTTTAGTCTCATAACAGCATTTGCCTTCTCAATGCATTACAATGAAAGTATGCAGATCAAATGTAAATATTGTGAAATGTTGTGAAGAATTAATCCAGACACAATTATGTATCATATGCTATAGGACATTGCCTGTGTCCGAGGCAATCTTCAATGAAAAGGAAATTCAACTTACTTTTGAAAATAATTTAGGAATGAGCATTGTTAAACCAGAAAGTTCATGCTGGCTACACAAGATGCTCAACTGAAAGCAACTATACAATTTTTAACAAATAACACTCCTATAAATGCAATCGTGCATGCTATGCCCAATGAATGAATGAGTGAATGAACGAACAAACAAATAGTAAGTTTTAATATTCCATCCGATACAAGAATAAAAGAAGTAAGAGTAAATCAAAGTGTCAACGAAACCAATATTCGAACCCGAAATCGGTAAACTAAGGCAAGTATCAAAATAGGAACATAAGAAAGATTTACATTAAGACTATTGAAAATGAACAGGGGAAATACGATCAGGTGTTTAAGAAGGGTGAACGTCTTCTGCCTCATCGACGACACCCGCCATGTAAATCTAAGTTGAACCAAATCGTTATGTTCCTGTCGACTTTGCAATTATGGTACATTTTATGATGACTCTACTTGTTATTGGTAATATGACGACAACGGAATAACACTTTTTAAATACTCATTGGAACGGCGAACTCTAGAATTGCCCTGGTCATTGGAGTTGATGACCGGAGTGTCAGCCACTCGGCCAAATTCGTTTTCCGTCACGTACATACATTATTTAGTTACCTTGCTGTACTGTGTATAATGTAGATACTGCTGGAAATATAGTGGCGTGTATATGTAATTTTAAACAGCTTTTACCTTTCCCATAACTGAAATACGCAATAGCCTGTGATATGAATTATTCATGACATTTTGATTTTTTCTACCTAATTGTCGATGCTTGTCAAGGTACAATTGTCGTGAATTCGGTGTGTGTTTATTACAAACCGTCATAACAAGTAGATGTAACTGCTCTCAGCTCATGAAATCAAATACAAGGTGGAGGAAAATCACTGACGTGTTGTTTGTTCACCACACTCTTCCCCGTTGCTGCAGATCAGGAATCATGAGGTGGTCTTTCTTGAAGAAGCAGATCCTCTTGTGTTGTTCAAGATGCTGGAGATGATTGTTCTCTGGTGGATTTGGACAAGGTCGGGTCACCCCTTAAGCATAGGGGACCCTTGGCAGGAACACAGTTTCACCGTGCCCAGTAGCGGCAGTTCCGGCCCATACTTCATAGATCTAATTCTGTTGATGGGCTCAACTTAAAAGTGCCCTCCTCCAAGGTACAGGGCCATTAAAGATATAAACTTTATGGTTGGCATAGGCATACTGTGCCCCTGCCAGGTACTCAGACATGTCACGTATTTTGATATGTCTGATGGTGTCAAAAGTGGAAGAATGCCCTCCATTTGTATGCTGACTGTGACAGGGAGTTGATAACACAATCCCACCCCCGAGCAGATAACCGCTCAAGGGGCCGATCCCTCGCATTTTCCGGAGACGGTTGAACAGAAAACCACAGCTAGCTGTACAATGTGATCCCATTTACCTGGGTCACAAAAATACTAAGGGATTTTTACTGTCCTTGCTCTTATTACTAAACCTAAGAACACAGCAGTGCCGTGTAATTTATCTACCATTAAACTACTGCCTAGTCACTCCACACCAGTCTAATCAACTTTTAGGATGCTCTAGTCTACCAAGGTGTGCCGGTGAGTACCCCACCCGAGTGGGTTACAGCGCTAACGCTATCAGATTGCTCTGCGACAGTTGAGCGACCGTGGCGAGGCTTTTGTAATGGCAACTCCGTCCTTGGCAGGGTTTCCCGCCATAGCCTCGGGGAGCACATAACTCAAACAGTTCCCTGGCTCCTGCGAACGCGTCCTTTCGCATTTGATATATTCAACTACCAGCGGCTCAGAAGATAAAACGACTTCGACATGTATTTTAAGTCTCTTTTTCCAGTTTGGTTCCGGTAGACGGGATAAGGAACGGTCATAGTTACAGATTATACCATCATTGACGAAATGGATCTGGAGGACACGCACTGTGTTTCCATACTTGTCCTGTTGTCCTCCCTGGGCTAACATAACCACCGCATGTAACTCCTGGTCATCCATTTCTTTCTTGACGTTATCCGATGACGTCACATTTGGTTTGAAACATTTGATAATGGAGGGAACAAAAGTTTCCTTTACCTCTTCCCCGTCAAATGGAAATGAGGCAGATTTTGGTGTTACCGCCTCATCTCCTTCAATTTTGAGCCCCACTGTTTGTGGTACATGTATATGCGTATTTTGTTGAGGAACAGGAGTATGGGCCTTGCATGTCAGTGGTACCATACTGTCCACGTCCTCCTTAAACCGTTCACGGTTAGCTCCCGCGGGGTGACTGTTCAGTGGCTCTTCCGAGACCATCACTGGCCTCTGGCTCTCCCTGGGAACTTTGTCCATCTCATTATAGACAGGAGCTTCCCTGGGAAGTTGAGGGATGGCCTCTTTTGGCTCGTTAAACCTGTTGTCCCCGTAGATACTCTCGCCTTTCCCCGAAACCATGTCTGCTGTACAACAGCTCCGGGCTTCTCTGTGGAGATGGGATATCACCTCTACATGTTCTTTCTCCCCAAATTTCTGTCCTTCTGTCATTTTGACGGACTTGGCAGTGTTATTCATCACTCTCATTATGGATCGTTGGGCACCGGGAGGCACTACCGAACCGGCAATCAAGACTGCCCCGGGATGTTGTATGGGTTGAATCGTGGCCGTACCCCCATTAGGTCTAGCCCAGTCCACCGGACAGTGCCCTGTAGTGTTTGGCGGCATGGTTACATTTTGGGCCAACTTGATAGCAGAAGATGTCTTTTGCTCCTCTAACCTCGGTGTAATAGGTATTGCCTGGTTACATGTACCAATGAACAGGACGCCCGCATCTAGGTCTATGACACAGCTGTTCCTTGACAGGAAATCCACTCCTAACAACATGTCGTCCATGATGGAGGCCTCACATACGGTCCAGGGTACTTCAGTGTTCCCGATTCCGATATGTAGGTCTTTTATTTCCCACACTATCTCAACATTGCCAGTAAAACCCCGGAGCCTCACTCGTTTCCCAAGCGCTAATGGCCCCTCGAGTTTATCTACAAGCTCCCGCCTAATCAACGTCATAGTGGCTGCTGTATCCACGACAGCTTAAATCGGAGTAACATTTAAAGAGAGTGGTATGGTAATGCTACTACCATCAGAGATTGCCAGTTTTCACCCATAGTCTTGAGGGAAACCTCGGTCGCGTTCCAGAGATCGGTAGTCGCCCCGAGGAGGAGGAGATTACGGACGGGCAGACACACCGCCCGCACTAAGCCGGGCTAGGTATTTCTTTAGCTCCTGTAGCTCATCTTTTGAGAACTGTACAGGGACTTCCTCTACTTTATCATCACTCGACTTAATGCCCTCTGCAAACTCCACCTGCCTACTAGGGTAATGTGGCGCGAGAGAACCAAACAGAGCACGCTGATTGGCTACGGAGGCCTTTATATATTTCAGAGCCTTGTAAACCGTCTTAGGATTCCTCTCCATGGCTCTCTGCGCCGCCATCTTCTCGCGACTGCCTTTGAGGAATGCCTCCGTAGTGATCCGGTTCCACGTGATGATGTCTGCATGGGCAAAGTCTGCCAAACTCTCACTCTCCTCTTGTTTAGTGAAGTTTAGCTCTCTGCGGGGCACCACTGGGACGTCCTTGTCGCTAAACCGTTCCTTCATCTTTTTCTTGAGTTTTGTGAACCCAAGAGTTCGTGGAAGCTTATCGGTGTACTCCAACGCATCCCCCACCAGACAATCGAAAAACCGTTGTTTGGTCTTACGGTCCGACCATTCATTGTCCTATATTATCCTGGTGAATTTAAGAGCGAATGGTTCCGAGCGCTCTTTACCCGAGTAAGTGGGCATCTTGTGTCGCTGAGGACTTCTACTCCTTTGACGATGCCTTTCGTAGTCATCGGAGGAGTCCCCTGAATCTGTATCGCTGTTCCCCTCCCCCTCACTGGAGAAATCGGGGTCAGATTCGTCGCTCTCCGACGAATCATCACGTCTGCGCCTTGTAGGCGCACGGCGCGTGCCTTGTGATTGGCGCGTATGTTGCTCACCGGGGATGCGATGCCTGTGCCTTGCAGGACGTTCGTTGTCCGACCTGTCGCGAGTCCGTCTATTTCTACCTTCATCGCGGGTAGCACGCGCTGGTGTGGCTACGCCACGATTTACCGTGCTGGTCAATGGCACCCTCGCGTGAGCACCGGTAACGACCGAAGGCAGACCACGAGCAGGAGTGGTATGCTGTTCTAACCTAACCTGCTTTCGCCCTAAGTTAGTGTCTATGTGCCCCAATAGGGGATAGTTGTTTATCCCGCCATTGTTGTTTGGCAGCCTATGGTCTAGAGGTAAAGTTCCCCCCCCCCCCTATGCTGGAAAGGTGGCTGTGAAGGGTCATATCCCCCAGGATAATTTCCCCCTCCCTGCTTGCGAAGCGTCAAACTAGGCTTGACATCTTCCAACAGGAAGTCAGCCTCATTTTCATTTTCTGATGAGAGGCATGACAAGGGCAGACTAATTTCCTCCTCAACTGTTGGTGCTGATTCTAGCTTAAACCCCCCACCTAGAAGCAATGGGTGCAATTGGTGCACTGGCACCACCAGCTGTCCATGTTGACACATGGAAACCCTGATCTTGAACACTTACATACCTCCCATCCTTCGGGATAGCTTGTAAGATAGGGTCAAACCCCCGGACTACTTCTGTTTAGGAATCATTGCCTGAGGGTCGGGGTATGGTACACTTTCAAGTGGCAAGGAGGTAGATTGCGTGGTACCTCTATCCCCTCAGGGTGACCAGCTATTTGTTTGTGGCCCCTGGCTGACATACTGACCACCACTAGGTGTAGTCAGTATCATAGTGCCAGGAGTAGAGGTCGTCTTCGGAGGCGAGGCAGCACGAGCCGCTAGGCTCTCTGATTTTTCAAGAGCCTCCGTCTCCAATGTCACCATCAATTCCCTAAACTGGCCCTGCAGTTCCTTAAATTGATGCTTCATGTCCATTACCTCGTCCTCTTGTTTACTTAGCCTATCTGACTGTGATGAGGTCGACCTGGTTGTTGAATGCGCCTCCACAGGGGCATTGACTCTTATCCCCGTTATGACCCCCTCACTTAGCCATTCCTGCCACTTATCAATTCCTACCCTCGAGCTTGAGACAAGTTTTTGTAGGGTGAGGTCGCCCTCACCTCTTATCTCAATGATTTTTTTGCCGTTGTAGGGCCTTAACCCTCCAACGTGCACAATTCAACTTCTGTAGCTGAGCGTACATTTATAATGGCTGTCATTTCTAGATATCAAAAATTTCCAACAACACATTTAATTAAACAAGTACAAAATTATGTACAAGGACAGATATCAACGGTGCTATGGTAGACACGTGCAACCGTCCCGTACAGAATTCCAACGATTACAACTACGATTTACAGTTTACAAAATAATTTCTAATTCCTAAAATAACTAATTTGTAACCTAATGTAATAATAACCTAACTAAACATATAATAATTTCCCTAGAATATAAAAATAATATCTTATACTAACGATAACTCAGGTCTCGCCTGTCGTATGTATTCCGCCAATATGGGGGGCCCACTATACAGGCGAATGGAGTTCCGTGTAAAACTAACAAGTACACTTAATTAGATTAAATATAAATTTCAGAACGGCAGTGAAAATACCGCCGACTCTGAATTACCCCTAATAAATAATTAAATAAACAATAATAAACTACTAGAACTATCCCAAAGTCTCTCACTCGTAATTCGCGCACTGGTCAACAAAATGGTCAGCGCACGTGCGAGCGAGAGGGGACCAGCAAGGTAGATTTTTTTTTGACAAAATTTGTCAAAATAGCGCGAGTTGTTTTGCACTTGTGACACAAATTGTCGAGAATTCGGTGTGTGTTTATTACACACCGTCACAACAAGTAGTTGTAACTGCTCTTAGATCCTGAAATCAAATACAAGGTGGAGGAAAATCACTCACGTGTTGTTTGTTCAATGTCAAGATATTAAGGTATTTCATACAGGCTCATGTCAGTGTATATAGTATGAGACTGACTGATAACTTTTCCTCAAAATGATAAAAATGTGGAAGTTGGTTGGTATACCCATGTCAGGAAAAATGTCAATAATGACCTTTGCAGAAATTATTTGTTGAAAATATTGTTGACTTTGTCTGAAAAGTAACATTTGAATGCAGAATTTAGTGGCGCAAAATTGCAATGAATGATGGAATTAATGAAAAAAACTTACCTGAACATGCATTCCTGAAGTATCCATTTATTGACTGTTATCGAGAAAAATGTAAGAAAATGTGCCAAATCTCCAGAATAATAGCATATATTTCCACTGAATAAATCACAACTGAGCATAAAGCCAACAAGGCTGCCTGAAGTTGGGAAAAAGCATGCAAAGCAAGTGCGATTTTACCTATACACCATTCAAAATACCTTCAGGTTGCCACTCAGGTAATCTGGCTTGACTTGAATCAATAGCCTTGTTAGCTTCATGAATTATTGTAAAATATCCAATGAAAATACATGCCATCATTCTTGAGATTTGAAGTATTTTCTTACATTTTTCTCAATAATAGTCAATCCACGGATACTTCAGAAATGCATGTACAGGTAAGTGTTTTCATGAATCATAATATTCAATGCAATTTTGCGCCACTAGAATTCTGCATTCAAATGTTACTTTTCAGACAAAGTCAACAATATTTTCAACAAATAATTTCTGCAAATGTCATTATTGACATTTTTCCTGACATGGGTATACCAACCAACTTCCACATTTTTATCATTTTGAGGAAAAGTTATTAGCCAGTCTCATACTATATACACTGACATGAGCCTGAATGAAATACCTTAAGAGACCGCGCCGAGATGTCACATCCAGGTTGTCGGCGCGGTTATCGGTCTAAGGGAGATAACTCGACCCAAAATTCACCACACAATCAGCTAGTTGTTATTGTCAACGGTAAACTTACGTATTGATCACAAGGGAAAGGATATAAACAGATAAATATAAATAAAGTAAACAAAAGAATGATGTGTTAGTCAATAGCTAATAGCTAAATGGATGAATACAGACAAAATACTAAATACATACACACTTCTGTTGTAATTCGTGCTTCAATTTGGACGTTCATTTGTAAGTGACACTCCCTGTTTTGTTACGTGAAGAACATACCTGTTATATTTGTATTTATGTTATACATAAAGCAATTTATACAATCTGTTTAGTAAATGCCTTTTTTATGTTAGTCAATTAATGTATTTGTTGTATTCAATCATTTAAGTTATATGTTACACTAGTCCTTTTATTCCGGAAACGTAAAATGTAGCCAGCCCGGGTAAGGGCTGGTCGACCGGAAACGTAGTCAGCCCGGCTACGGGTTTGACGACTAATTTTGGTGTCGGATGTCACGTGACACTCCACTGAAAAAATTGTAAAAACAAAAAAAAAATGTTTTCCTTCCTCCTCCCCTGCATGTCCACCGTATTATGACTGTACAAATATAGCTACATGTACATGTATGGGGCGTTTTTCTATTGAAGATCCCCAATCTTTTGTTGCCTTTATACCATCAACATGTATCAATTGGTCATAATTTCATTACTGGCATTTTAATCAAATAAATGCTCATTTTCGACTAGACACGTATTTGTGTTATTATTGGGCAAAACACAGAACAGAGTATATCCCGTGTGTAGTAAGGTTGTTTGCATGCTAAACACGAGAGTATAAATGTATTTTCAGGCAAGTAAGCAAAGCATCTAATTTGTCTCCCTTTTATGTTTCACCTTTTCAAGGACGAATAAGGCAACTATCTTGATAATCAAGGAACATCCACAGGAGTAAGAACTCCTAAATATACTCATTATGAATGCTACATAATGAGAGTGATGAAAATAATCCTCTGGTGCTTTTATTTATAGTAAATGTATTGTTTTTCATGCCTTTAATATTAGGATCTTGAGGATTTATCACCATGCATGCCTCTGACGCCTGGACGTTGCTTCATGTATTTTTTTGTTTGTTTTATTTCCGTAGCCTTTTGTCCTAATACTAGCATTTGTTTCTATAGTAACATCTATACGTCCGCAAACAGTAAAATGTAGATGTTTTCAACTAAGGAAAATCATACCATTAATTCAAATTGAAAGTGTAATGTCGATTTGTGTAGCTAAGTTTACTAAACGTTGTCTTGGTTTACCTTTCCGGTTTTTGCTATCCGATCAGTTAGGAAATAATACGATGGCATTTGCCTTTCCCTGAATCATAAGGTTAAATAGAAAAGAGGAGCCACAGGTGTTACTGTGTTAAAACACTAGAATTAAATCCAAAATTTAGGTTGATTCCAACAGATAACAAGAACTAAGAAGACACAAAAACAGATCGAACAACATGTCGATACGTGTGGGTCTTTTGGTTTTTATTTGTTAAGGCTTTGCATAAATCATGCTAATAACTGAAATATCTCATCTGCCACCACTAGTACTTCCCTTGTATTCTGAGGGGTTTCATGATCGTCTTTCATCAAGGGGGCCGTATATGACTTTACCAGTTTCAGAACGTTTGTCTTGAGAACAAGTATTTCTCAGGATGAAACAAAGACAGATTAAAAGGTTAAGATAACTGCATGGATTTAATATGAAAGCGAAATATCAGATTTAAAAATACAGTTGTATTTTCATATTTTTATCATGATCTTATGTTTGTGGTGTTGAATGAATGAATGTTTGATTTAAAAACACAAGTATGTTTATTCATAGTAATGGCATAACGAAGATGTCGTATACATTCGTTAAAAGATAAGACCAACCAGTATTGTGATTGGATGTCAGAATTGTTTGAACCCTAACCCTGCCCTGCCCTGCCCTGCCCTGCTGCCATGCCCTGCCCTGCCCTGCCCTGCCCTGCTTTCCACTTTCATGACACTAGTGTTGATATGTTTGGTGTTTTTTTTTCATCTTAACATCTTTAATAAAATTCCATACGATATCGGTTTCTGTTCTGAAATTTTATGTTAAAACGAATAAAAAGTTTCCAATTGATGGTTACATGATGGTTTTGGCAATGGTACTGGAATGCTTAATACTCACATGTTCATGATAGTACATTAAATATATAGAAAGACTTAATAGTCTTATGCTTTTTAAGTTGCTGTGTCGTGATGTTATTGGATGGAATTGAGATTTATTAATGTGAGACTCATTTAAGCATAATTCTGATGACATATGATGTTTGTGTAAGGGCCAATATATCATGAAGTGTCAGTCTGATAAAGAAAACTATCTTGTTACTTATCTAGTTAAAACGAGTTATTATCCCCTCGCAATATAATAGAACTATAGATAACAAATATTTAAGCATATACTGTTATGGTTCTTTAACACACATTTCTATTGGAGACACACTTACAAATAACCTTACCGAGTTTTATTAAGCTTGTAATCATTAGTAATGTGTGTTATAGGACCATAACAACATTTGCTAAAACATTCATTGCTTAAATATCATCGCAATATCATACATCAGTCAGACACAGTCACTCAAACTACAAACGGTACTATATTATCTTTTTTTATGAGATGCAACGTCACGTCTGGTAAAGTCAACATAGCCCGGTGAATACATTATACTACAGATACAGTGTTTATTTATAACGCGTAATCTGATGTAAGTTTTAAAATCTTGTATCAACGCATTCAACCTCATACCCTTGAAATCACATGATCATCCGAATTCATATTCGTTTGATTTTGAGGAAAGACTTGCGCTCGATATAGCCATTTAAGATTATAAGCATGGACGGTCCCCTGGATATCAATGAGATTTGGAAATCCCTCGGAACATGGGGAAGGTACCAGAGAGGCCAAATCTTTATTTGTCTCTTTACAGTTATTCCAGTTGCATTCCACCTTCTCTCCATCGTCTTTATAGGTAAGCTATTGATGTCATTGCTAATAGTCTTACACTATGTCGATATTAGGTT